AATTGCTCATTTTATTTTTGATGATGATGTTATTCTTCTCATAATTGTTCATTATTTATTTCATGTTAACACCACATAGCTGTACTTTTTTTCTACATTTTAGTACTCTAATATAACTCGTCCAAAATCATAACTAAATTTGACTAGTGAGAGAAATATGTAATAAAATTTATCTCGTCTATATTAACCTCACATAATACTTAATAGGTTGACAAAGAGGATCTTTTGAGTTAGTGGGATAACATTAATTTGGTCTTGGATTCCCCACTACTGATAGCCCCTACTATTATTGGACCATGCTATGTGTACATAGCATGGTACATAAGGGTCCACCTCTCTCACATTATGTACACTATTATGTGTATTGCTATGCATACATAGCAATATTCACTATTACTTGGGCAAAGCAAAGTTTTGCGTATTTGAGTACTTTGCCTTCAATACAAAGTCAGCCATTTTCAACCATTTCCATCTATAATAAATAATTAAATAAAATATAAAATAATATTCTATAATCATACAATATTAATATGTGTCTGCGAACATGTCATATGTGTAGGCTACCCGACAGTATCTCTTATGTTTGAATTGACTATAATTAAAAGGTGGAAAGCACCATTGGAATATTAGTCAATCCAAAAGGCAAATTAAACAGTCAGTACTCTAAAAGATAAATAGATTGGTTCTTGTTTCTGGTTCATGTATGAGGACAGACAGAAATTGGCCAGCTTTTTCTTCAGAAGAATCAAAAGGAACAAGAAGACGATAAGGTGATTAATTATTTTGTTGAACTATCTCGTCTATAAATTAAAAAAAGAAAACATTTATTTACTAGAATTTTTTCTTTATCGCAGGTCAAATTCATTTTCTTGATCAAAAAGTAAACTTCTCACAATTGAGTTCTACATGGATGATTCCACTACTGCAACCTAATCTTGACATTCAACCACAAATCCCTTAGAGCACTTCACCATCGATAGCAGCATGGCAAAAAGCACCTGCAGCCAGTTTCTATCGCATTAATCGAGATGGCCTTGCTCGCCCTTGAATTCTTTAACGAGTTTAACCACCAAGGACCACTTCATGTAACTTCATCCTACCAAAGATACTTGATATAAACTGACGTAATTGGTATTTTTTAAAATAAGTTGTTAAATTTAGTTTACTCATCTAAAAGTTTAAACGTTAAAGAGAACAAATTTATTTATTTTAATTATGTCGTCAACATCCTAGACGTAAATTTAAAATAAGTGGCATGATTTTCTCAAACATAAGAATTTCCAAAGAACCTTCCAGTAAATTTAAAAAAAAAAAAAAAATGATTTCTTGTTCCCTCTGCAATTTCTACCTTGTATCAAAAGAAATCAAGACTCTTGTGGTCAAATAAATGTCCAAGAATCTTTCCCTTTCAATGTGCCAACAAATGCAATTGATCCCATTTTCTCTTCCTTTATTAGAGAAAGCCAAACTCAATTTGTCTTGCCTTTTGACCGTAGTATTTACTAGTTTTTTTCCTTTCATATTGCCAAGCCTTTTCTTTTTACCTAATCCATTAATGTTTTACTTATGCTCGAGAGTATCTAGAAGGGATTGACCTTAAATAGTGAAGTTTGTGAGACCAAAAAGATTAAACGACCTTAATTATTGGTGGGGTTGAAGTAACATGAAGATACAAATCAAATTAAGTTGTATGAAAGATTTCAATTGCAGTGATTGTCACATACTAGTTTTATCATCAACAATTCTCCACTTGGACCAAAAAGGAGACAAAACAGTTTCATGATACCATTGTGTTCCATACTATCGAGCCATTTAGTATTAATATAGATATTCATTAGAGCCTCGTATCTATAGCACAGGCACACACACGGCTCTAGCAAAGAACGATCAATCATCGATGACAATTCCTGCAAGTCAAGATCATCGACAAAAAGGCAAAAGGTATTTTTGAAATTGGTAAAAGTTATTGAAGTGTCCACGATTGTAAGCATATTCTTGTGTGCAATGCCTGTTGCAACTTGCAAGTCTCCCTATTTAGTATATTTTTCCTAGTTTGGGCGATGTTTATATTCAAGGGCATATATCAACATTCCCATACATAAAAAAAAATGAAATATAAGAAATATAATGAAGAATGCCACATGATTTGCATCCCATTTCCCAGGCAATGCTGCCTTGTTAGTGTTGGTTGCTTTCACCAAAAGAGAGAAAAAAAAAATAAAAATTATCCAATTTGCCTGCATCAAAGATTCGCATAATCTTACCAAAAAGGCAAATTAAGTTGCTTAATGTTACCTGTTTATTTTTATTAAATTATTATAATATTTTATTTTAATTTGAACGAGTGAAGGTAGTTGCCAGTAGAGATGGCAACGGGACAGGTCATCCCCACCCCGTCCTGCCCCGCCTTAGACGGGGCGGGGCGGGTTCGGGGAGCGGGCTTGTCTCCTTTCCTGCCCCGTTTATTATTATTATTATTATTTTTTCAAAAACTTCCAATTAACCATTTTTTGTTTTTAATTTGTAATTAATTATTTTTTTTATTCTTCACGGGGCGGGTTCGGGGCGCTTCGGGGCAGGGCACCCCGCCCCGCCAACCCATCGGGGCGGGGAAGCGTCGGGGTGGGGCGGGTTTTTTTGCCATCACTAGTTGCCAGACATTTTCCTAATTGCTATTTGGCATCAGTATGTAATTCTATCTATTTTTTTTTTGAAGGTCTGAATTCTTTGGAAATTGAAAATCTTTCCGTAGCCAAGTCCTTCTCAACAATCGTTTACTGTTTAATTAGATATGCATTCATATGATTTAATTTCTAGCTATAAGAGTTCTATATACGTTTAGTATTCAAAACAAGCTATCTTCTTCTTCTTCTTCAGCGTGACTTTATGTAATCTTTTATATCAAATAAAACAGTGTGCAATGCATTTAAAACTCATCATAATGGTCTCCCTTTTACATTGTATTAAGGTCCACAGTGTCTTCAAGAATCGAAAAAAGGCTGAAAGATATGTGAAGGGAAAAATATCAGCCGGAAAGATAATAATTACATGTGGTTGTGCGCACATGCAAAAACATGTGCAAAAAATGCATGCGTATAATTGCCGCGTTCGAAGGGAAAAAAGAAAAACAGCACTTGTTTGTTAGTGGATAACCCATTTTCAGGCTTTAATTTCCATTAAACGTGACTAGACAGTACAATACATAAGATTTAACTCTGGCTTTCAGTTTGCCATTGTAAATTTCTCGGATTTGTCTACCCAATAATGCTCCACATACTGCGAATAAAAATCGTATATTACAGACAATCCATTTGTTAGTTAAGAGTTGACTTTGAATCCCCTAATCTGTGAAGCGACAGCATGAGCACTTCACTGAGATAAACCACTAAATATATACATATTCATTTGTTATTTGGTAGTGCAAAGTTAATTTCACAATCTGTCTCCAACTTATAGCCCTTTTTCAATTTGGTCTCCAATTTATTTACATAGTCAATTAGAATGTCGGATGCTAGAAGACGGTTATAATTAATTTATATCAAGATCTTCGTGGTTTGTATGTTAAGGAAGGTCGTAAAAGAACGAAAATGCACGAAGCAACTTTTCTATTTATGTCCCAATGAGGGGCTGCAATATATTTTGTATTGCTTCATTGCGCTATGTCACGTAGGCACAAATTGTATGATTGATAGATTAACACTTTATTGACACTTCTTATACCGGATTAGACAGTAAAATAGACAAACAATTGCAAATGAAAGGAGCAGGCAGGGACGAGAGGGGTCATCTTTTTCGCAGAGGTAAAATGCATTTCTAGTCGTAGGCTCATAAGAAACAATTGTCATGTGTTTGGTTGCATTGCTCCATTGAATTGTCATGTGAGATGGTAATTGTCGTCGAGGTTGAGGAATTGAAGAAGCCATATTTAAAAAGGTTGTATGTTTGAGCTAAATTCACTTTAATTAATTGTGTAAGACATGTAAAAGATTCTTATGCAACATGTTTTGTAATTCTACCAGTTGAGCTAAACGTGTATGGAAAGTGTTTATAAATAGGTTGAATTATAAATAGATAAAAATGAGTAATGGATAGTACTTATAGAATGTGTTGCGTTGAGTCGAGTTGAGTTAACAAAGATTAATGTGTCGTCTTATTTTTTCAAGGGCTTTGAAGTTGACTTTTTTTTTTTTTTAAACCGAGAGAAAAAGAAAGTATTAAAATAATGGACCAACCCTACTATAGTGGAGGCACTAATTTGACTATCCTTGTAAGTGTGCTTTCCGAATATAATTCTAATTCTTATTGGTTCTTAATCTAAACCCACCCTCCAATTATATGTTACCTTTTGGATTTTCGACCCCACACCTCCATTATATGTCCCTATACCTTATACTCATACATAAGGAAGATCATTTATATTTATCATGCTAATATGAATACATTGTTTTTTAGCCCGTGTTTGGTCGTCATTTTTTTGAAAAAATATTGTTCTAAATAGTGAATTTTTAAAAAATGTATTGTTAAAAAGTACGAAAAAATTTTAAATTTACGTATAGAATATTTTATTGTGTGAATGTATGATTGAAAATAAATATTGACAAAAAAGAATTTCAAAAGAATGCGAAACAAACAAGGACTTAGATGGTGTTAAAAAATTTGGAAATGTGTGGTTAAAAAGTTGTGGAACTCATGAAAAATATGATTAATATTGATTCTTTAACATTGACTTATATTAAAATCAGATTTTAATTCGGACCAAACAAGAGCTTGATGTCGTTCCCAAGTGCCCTTCCCACAAATATACCACTTGGTCTTCTAATACATGTCTAAGGTGGACCTACTCAAATGCATTTCCTCTTCTATTTAAATCCCATTTTCTCTTCTCCCTTCTCCCCCCAAAATTCACTTACTCTTCTCTCAAAATTCTCTAGATAGGAACCAAAATAGGCACTTATTTTCTCCTGTACTATTACAACGTTGACATAAACAAACTCAAGATTATGGCTTCTTCTAATGCATATACAAACTCAAATGTTTACACTAAAATGGCAAGAAGAGAGAGGATTCACTGTGCTTTGAACTCTCCTTCTGTGCTTACTTTCCCAAAACAACCCTTTCATACAGATGAAATTACAACGCCGAAGAAGACAACAACCCAGCCGCCGCTGGAGCCTCAGTGGAATATATTACAGAAAGCAGCGGCGAAGGCTTTAGACGCTGTGGAAGCTGCCTTGGTGTCACGCGAGCTACAGCATCCACTTCCTAAGACTGCTGACCCGCGTGTTCAAATCGCCGGAAATTTTGCTCCGGTAGATGAACACCATGTGAAACATGAACTTACCGTCACTGGAAAAATCCCGGAATGCATAAATGGAGTTTATGTGCGAAACGGTGCCAACCCTTTGCATGAACCAGTCGCCGGCCACCACCTTTTCGACGGCGACGGCATGATACATGCAGTGACCATTCACGGTAGCAACTCAGTGAGTTACGCTTGCCGATTTACAGAAACACGAAGGCTGACTCAAGAACGTGAATTAGGCCGGCCAGTGTTCCCAAAAGCCATCGGAGAACTTCACGGCCACTCCGGTATCGGGCGGCTTCTTCTCTTCTACGCTCGAGGCCTATTCGGGCTAGTTGATCATAGCCACGGCACAGGAGTAGCTAACGCCGGTTTAGTTTACTTCAATAAGAGACTCTTAGCCATGTCTGAAGATGATCTCCCCTATCAAGTGCGTATCAAATCCTCCGGCGATCTCGAAACAATAGGCCGATATGATTTTGATTGCCAATTGAAAAGCACCATGATCGCACACCCCAAGATTGATCCCACCTCCGGCGAGCTCTTCGCTTTAAGCTACGACGTCGTTCAAAAACCATATCTCAAGTACTTCAAGTTCTTCACCGATGGAAAGAAATCACCGGACGTCGAAATTCCGTTGGATGTTCCGACCATGATGCATGATTTTGCGATCACTGAGAATTACGTCGTAATTCCCGATCAGCAAGTGGTGTTCAAGCTTCAAGAAATGATCAAAGGTGGCTCCCCTGTGATTTACGACAAGAAGAAGAAATCAAGGTTTGGGATTTTATTAAAGAATGCTAAAGATGCTAAGGATATTTCATGGGTGGATTGCCCAGAAACCTTTTGTTTTCACTTATGGAATGCTTGGGAGGAGCCGGAGAATGACGAAATCGTCGTCATTGGTTCTTGCATGACTCCACCGGACTCAATCTTTAACGAATGCGACGAAAATTTGAAGAGTGTTTTGTCGGAAATCCGCCTAAATTTGAAGACTGGTGAATCGAAAAGACTGCCTATCATTCAATCCTCCGAACAGATTAACCTAGAAGCCGGTATGGTGAACCGAAACCGGCTTGGTCGGAAAACCAAGTACGCATATCTAGCAATTGCGGAACCATGGCCTAAAGTTTCAGGATTCGCCAAAGTCGACCTCTCGACCGGAGAAGTTAAAAAATTCATCTATGGTGATTGTCAATACGGGGGCGAACCGTTCTTCGTACCAAGGGATTTGACTTCTGACAGTGACAGTGAAGACGACGGGTATATTCTTGCATTCGTGCACAACGAAAAGACATGGAAATCTGAGTTGCAGATCATAAATGCTATGACTTTACAATCTGAAACCTCAGTAAAGCTTCCATCAAGAGTCCCATACGGGTTCCATGGGACATTCATAAGTTCAAAAGACTTGGAAAATCAAGTGTAGTACATATTTTTATGTATATGGAGGAGGGATAGGCCAGAGGGATGGTAGATTTAGGGAAACGTACGTCCCCGGGTTCTTCTTTCAACAAGTGTTTTGATCTTTTTTCTACCTTCTTTGCCAAGCTTGCAGCTTTGATGTATGTACTCTCGTGACTTAACAATGTGGATCACACCTTTATTTCATAGTTGATTTCTTTTTAGAATTATACGAAAAGTAATTAGTGTCTAATGAATTCAACATATTACAAGATGGGCCTTTCAAATCAATCTAATAATGTTGCTAATAATTGTTATAAATATGGTCCAAATACATTTTAGGTAGGTCCATTTTTGATCTTTCATTTTTAATCGCGAAATTCACATTTTTTATCACAAAATTTCATTAAGTTTTATTAAAATCTTGTTTTTATCGAAATCAAACAAAGGCTTTTATTATGCTTAAAAAAATAGAAGGTACTCAAAAGTGTATTAATGTCATTGTTTACTTCTGTATTAAAAAAATCCAATTATGTATCTTACAATTTTAATTTAAAATTGATGTCTGATTTAATTTAGAATTTAACACTATTCAAATTAAAATTAATATATTTAACGCATTTAAAGTGCTGGGGATATGTTGAACTTGACGATAATATTGGAAAACTAATTGTTACTATGTTTGGTAATGTGGCAGAACAAGCATTTGGTTGTTCAACAGTTGAATTGATGGGACAATGTTGGAGAGGTATTGCTTAAATTTTTCTTCAAAACTTGATTTTTATTATAATGAGTTATTTAAAAAATAATTGAATTTTTTTATTAATTATGTAAACCTATTCAAAATTTATTTTGTAGGAAAATCGACCATATATATGTTAAAAGTATTGAAGAGAAATTATCAAAAGAAATTTGGAAGATCCCGGGAAACTAAAAGAGAAAAAATATAGGTAGTGCAAGATGAGGAAAATGCTGAATCGTTATCTTAAAATCAAAATTATCTCAAATAGCTTTCATAAAACTATGAGCGATGTTTATTCATAGGACCATGCTATAGATTCTATTAATATTCTTTTTTTAATATATCACAATGTGTAATTATTTATCAAATACATAAACATTACATCATTAGTTATTTAATTAATCAAAAAAATTACATCTTTATTAATAAAAATTTAATTCCAAACCAAAAAAATTATATATAAACTAAGCAAACGTACATTGCGCGTATCTTTAAATTTGGCAAATCAATATATTCATGTATTAACAATATGGTTCAAATACATCTTACCTTAAATTGGTGATATTACTTGTAATTTACGAATGAGCATCTCACTCTCGTGACTTAACAATGTGGATCACACCTTTATTTCATAGTTGATTTCTTTTTAGAATCATACGAAAAGTAATTAGTGTCTAATTAATTCAATTAAATGTTACTTGATGCGCCTTTCAAATCAATCTAATAATGTTGCTAATAAAATATGGTCCAAATACATCTTACCCCTAAAATTAGGTAGGTCCATTTTTGATCGTGAATTTCATTAAAATCTTATTTTTGTCGAAATCAAACAAAGGCTTTTATTATGCTTAAAAACAGAAGGTACTCAAAAGTGTATTAATGTCATTGTTTACTTCTGCATCAAACCCGGCAACTTGTTTCTCAAGTTCACGTTCAGATTAAAAGGCCTGACTGCAGATCAAATGAGTCCTTTTCTAGTCAAAGCTGAATTAAAGGCTAGATACGTGATCTGAAATTGATGTTGATTTTCAATTTTTATTTTCCTTTTAAGTAAATTTGTATACAATTTTCTTGATTTTATATATGACATTGAGATAATTAAATCAAATAAAAATTGTGAGGTCACTTATTCAGTGAGAAAGGGGGAAGATTCAATTAACTGACCAGAAGTTGAAATTCTTCATATATTTTAAGAAAAAAACTGTATTGAGGTGACACCAATAATGCAGTGAAATTTCTTGAAATGGGTAAGTAAAAAAAATTGGCAGTCCACACCTAAAATAATGCAAAATGATATGAAGGTTTGTCAAAATTGTACAATGTATCTTGAATTTCTTGCATTTTAGGTATCAAGTTATCATTATGAAACTCCTTTCAATTATTGACTAGGAAAAATGGTTGTTGGTGATGCGATTTTCTTGAATTTGTTCATAATTGTCATTTTCAGTTTGTTGAAAACGACCTATAATTATATTTACTGTTTTTAGTAGTTTAATGATTTAGCTAATGTTGTTCACATGAAAGTGGGATTTCGTTGTTTGTACAGAAAAATATGCTAAAGACATGAGCGTTAGAAAATATATATGTTTCTTCTAGCAAACAATTTGATCCTTTTGTTAACTAGCTCCCCTTTTTTTCTTCAAGCAATTGAAGTTTAAACCTTCTTCACATGTTTACTTTATTTTATTTTTTTTATTTTAAAGGGAGAGAGAGAGAGAGAGACGTACATTTCCTTTGTACCATGTATAAAGATTTTATTTTGCCGGAGATTGAATTTAAGCCACAACTTTATTCTGTAAACAGTGACAGTTAAAAGGGAGATATAGAGATCTGGTTCATATATATTCAAAAAGGCTTGCTTGACCATATTGTAGTGTAGGTTGTCACTTATTTCTAAAAGTATAAACCGAATTTTCGCCTTTTTCTTCCGATGTAACATGCGTGTAGAAAACGTTATTTTTTAGATTGATAATGATAAGACACAAATGTCAATTTTTGAAGCCCATTTTTCTGTCATCTTTATCTTTCTCTTCACATTTTCAATTATAATAACTTTCTCAAGGAGACATGAAGTTCTGGTGAATAGCTTGGACCGCCAAGCAGATCCTAAATGGATTAAAGCAGTATTATTAATGTAGTATGCATCCCATATGTTGTGCCACCCTCGAAATACCCGAACTAGTAGGAGACTCACTCATATTTAAGAATACGTCATGTGGTTCGTCATAAAATTTGGAAACAATAGAAGATGGTCAATAGGATCTGGTCGTGTTCACATTAGCGTGCATAGTTAATATATAATAACTTAAATTATATGCAAATACTTCAATTATTTTGGTGAATGAAAGCTACTTCTCGAGCCAATAATGTTGGGATCTTGACTCCCCAAAAGAGTAAAAATTGATAGGACATTGATTCATACAATAGTTGATGGATTTGTAGGAGTGATTGTACAATTTTCATATGACAATTCATAATTTTTCTTCTTATTTCAACATCTTATATATTATTTGTTACTTTATTACGAAAATATTCTATGTGGAAGATCATCATCATCATCATGGCCATCTACAAAAGCCTAAGCAATTAAAATAATTCAAATGGTAATATTAATATTTGGTCAAATGTTAGTTTATTGCCAAGAAATAGTATTACTTATTTTAATTAGTTCAGATATTGTGTACTATGCATTGCATAAGCATGTTAGAATTTGATCACTTCATCAGAATGTAACAATGAGCATTATGACACACATTATTTTTGTATTTATCGAATTAAATATTAGTGCACATCCCCACGCACACACCCCTTGTTGTCATTGTATATTATTTAAAAATTCGACAATATTTTCCAATCGAGAAAATATGATAAAATTATGAAACTTACAGTATTTTCGTACCCTAAGCTTAACAAAGTTGTCACATAGTATTATGCTCAATAGACCAGAGACGCATAGTAATATAAAACTAGAAGAAATGGTCCCAAGAAAATATTTTTAGTGTAATGAAAGATAGTACAACGTGATCAGTATTTAAAATCTTTTCGATCATATATTATGTATTATTTTCATCAACAATTATGAGAATTGCTCGCAATCCTTCAGTTACGCCACCGCACCTCGTGTAAGAAAATCCTTTCTGATGGGATCCCCGTCTAAATTATAACAAATTCATCACCTATTCGTAACGTACAAGTCAACAACCAACATCTTGTCTTTGGAAGAAATTGCACACTAATGTCTAAACTCCTACTGATTTGGAATAAATGGACACGTGTATAATTTGGGACATTAATTTATTTATTTGTCTTTTAATCCCCAAATTCAGGGTGCTTTATATCAACTTAGAGATCTTCTTGTCTACTTGAATCCTCGAAGTTCAATGATCCTCAAGTGTCACTTACATATGATGTTTTTGAAGGATAAACGTGTTAAAACTATAAATCTTCTTCACCTTTTCGAATCCTCGGAGGTCAGCGATTCTCGAACATCATTTACATGTGGTGTTTTTGAAGGGTCAACGTATTAAAACGTCATTGGTAGATTAAGTAGGTGGAGAGACATCACATGTAATAATTTAAAAGTTCATATTTAGAGTGTGTCTGGCATTGATTTGATTCAAATTAGTAGCACATTTTTTACCCTTTTTTTCAATTGCTGACCCTCACATCTCTCACATGTGGTCAAATGTTGCGGCTGTAGGTGTGTGTAGCGGTTGAGATTTCAATTAAAATCTGTCAATTAATTACCTCCAGATATAGACTTAATTGATTTTTTGATCGAACATCTAATGTGTGTACAATTTATACAAGTAGTCAACAGAGAGATTGAAATGAAGTTTTTTGTTGACGTTGGCGTCATATTGAACCAAATTGCCAGTGAATGGAATTCCATTTCAACGCAGCTTTTCGATAAAAAATTAAAAACTCAAAATCCAGTGGGGACACATGCTCCCTACTGGGCCCCGCTTCCCTGTATTATTTTACTCCTAACAGAACATTCAGCTTGAATTGAACGGTGAAATATGATTTAAGTTATAAAATATTTTTCGAAAATTGATAAAATAAAGATGAATCAAGTCGACACTTGAAAATGATTAATGACAGAATTTGTAGCAAAAAATATTGTTAAAAACAATTCTAGTAGAGTGGACAACATTGTTACACCAGCATTTTGTACGTGGAATGCTGTCTTAAGAATAGCAATAGATGCTAACTTGTCCCGTGCCATGTTTATCAAGATGCATTGTATGGGAATGTGCTAGCCTAAAAGTGCACTTATAGTG